CAGCACCATGAGGGTACAGGGTACTACTGGTGTGTTGATCCAAACACAGGTGATATTATTGAAGGGACAACAAAAGATGAAGGAAATTCATCAGATTTGCCGAACTGTGATATTAAAGGCAAGGAGTCATAATTTGTTTTAAAAAACTTGTAGTTGTATTAGCTATTATCTCCTTTATTTATTTATTATCTCCTTTTTTTCAGAAGATACTCAATCTTTAAATCTCACATCCTGCTTAAAAGACAGAGCATCAAAGTTAAAACTTTCAGAAAAAATTCCTGATATAAACATTCCTGAATGCAATCCTGAAGATGGCTTGTACGAGTCACTGCAAATTGGTAATGGAGGTCGTTTTAAATGGTGTGTTAACAGATTGACTGGAAAGTTAATTGAAGGAACTATCACTGATGGTGCTGAAAAACAACCACACTGCTCAGGTTTTTATTGTTTTTATTAAGATGTGTTGATGCAAAGTATTTGTGTTTGTTTTTTTAAAAGCTAAACTGAGCCATAATTGTGATTGTGATTCATAGAAACAACTTAATAAACATTTTAAGTTAAAATCATTTAAAAGTTTTAAACATTTTTAAAAAACTTTTAATCATTTAAAAGTTTTAAAAATTTGGGAAACTTAACAAGCTTAAACCATATACAACCATGTAAGCATACAGCTATAAAAACCATTTAAAAACATATATTTAGCAAAGTTTTAAATAATTTTAAATAAATTGTTATTAAGTGCTTAAGCAAATAATATTTGAAAATAAGTTTGGGGCTAAAATTGGTTAATTTAAAAAGTCTCTTAAGAAATTAGGGATGGGATTTACGATTAGTTTTAGTCTAACTAAAATTAGTCGACTAACTTTTCAATCTAACTAAAATTAGTATACTAAATTTTTAGTTTGCTAATATTAGTGAACTAATTTTTAAGTGTAACTAAAGTTAGTCGGCTAAAACAAGATGAAGTGGTAAAAAAATAAAAGAATATCATATAACATAAAACTTTCACACTCAAGGCTAGTTAATCAAGCTGTTTGAAAACTATTTGGTGCTGTCCTTATAATGATTCTTATGGCCCGGTCAAATTATCATAGTAATGTATTAAGCTAAATTAGATTTTTTTATTTGTCGCTATCTCAAAGACAGCTGCTTTTACGGTTGTTGTCACTCTTTATAAAATATATAAAGATTATAAGAGCTTACTTCCTTCCTTCTGTTACTTATTACAAAAAAATATACATTAAAAATATTATAGCAAAACTTACTATTTTCAAAACAAAAGAGTTAAAATACTAAATTTTAAAAATTTCAATACAAAACAATAAAATAAAATTAAAAACAACTATTACAAGAAGATACTTCTGTATTACAATTGAATAAACTGTACTAGTTTTAAACTAAATTAAAAAATTCCGTACAAAAACATCAACATTTGAAAACATTTAGCTGTCATCCTGTTTCGTTTTGCATACAAATTGTTTAATGCGTCAAAAAAAAAGTGTTCACTTGCTGCACTGGTAGCAGGTGTACATAAAATCATTGTTGAAATACAATACAGTATCGGAAATGCATGTTGATTTCGATGCCAAAGCTCTAAAACATTTTGTAAAACACTCACTTGATTAAAGCTTACTAATGCATTTACCGTTTCTTTCAAGTTAGCAATTTTATCTTCATCAAGCAAAGGTTTTTTCATATCTTTGTATTGTTGTTTTGAATTAAAGATTTCCTTTACGTAGGAGTGAAGTTTAAGCATTCGTTCTGCCATGAGAAAAGTGGAGTGCCAGCGAGTTTTCACATCTTAAATCAAATGAAGAATGTGATTTTTTTTTGAACACCTTGTTGCATTTGACTTTCTTCTAAAAAATCATAAATTGAGAAGAATGGTTGAAAGATGTAACAATTTTTACTGCACTTGGTTAATATTTTTGCAATGAAAAAGAATTTAGATGAATTATCTTTTTTGCTTTCTTCAACTAAATCTATGAAATTTTTAACTATTAATTGCAATACATGCCCTATACATCTTATTGGTTGAATGTTTAAACAAACTTTTAAAGAATTTAGACAATTGCGTATGTTACTGGCGTCATCTGATACTACACTGATTATTTTATCACCCACTTTAAAATTTTATTATATTTTTAGCAAAGCCTCTTTCAAATTATCTGCATCATGGCGGCCTTTAAGCCCAAACAAAAACTGATAAAGTTTGTTTTTTCAGAAATGTGCAGTTGCAAATATGTAGCTATAACTTGATAAATTTGACAGGATTTCTTGTGTATTAATTTCATTTTTCTCTTGTGTATTAATATTATTTTTCTTTGACCAAATAAAAAATTAGAAATGGTTTTGCTATCAACATTAAAAAAAGTTTGTTCATCTATATTCTTTCTTTTTTCCAACCTTTTAATTAAATGGGATGTTGGAGTGGCATGTTCAATTAAAGAAGACGTATTTTTGTTAAACATAATTTAAAGTTACATTTATTTCATGTAAATTTTCAGATATTGTTTACATTAAGTATTTATCTAGCATATAGAAGGAAACCATTATTTTCTAATTACAAATTGATTGAACTTAGTATAAATTGTGAGAATATAATAAATTAAATTAATTAAGAAAAATGTTTTGTTTCTTTGTCTAATATTGCCCCAAACTTTATTTTACTAAATTAATTAGTTTGTTAATAATTAGCAGAATAACTCGATAGCAAATAAAAACTTTAATTAAATATCTGTGCTTTTATGTGTGTAGAACTAAATTAAATTATGCATTTCCTCTTTATCATTATTAATGATTGGAGGTGTTATTTAAAGGAAATCTGAAACAAATTCTGCATAAAACATTCCTCTAAATAATATGGCATGGCTGGTTTTTAAAAATTGATATCAATTACATTTTTTTGTAATTTGTAAATCACTTTTGTTATAAATTGAAAAGATTTCAAACCACTTTTCATTGAAATTTAAAATAATAAAATAATGACAGTGACATTTATGTTCAGAAAATATTTATACTTCCAATTAATTTCAAATTTAGATGATAAATATTTTTGTTCCATAATAATTTTTATTTTGTTTTGACGCAAATTTTACATGAATGATTTATATTATATTATAATAATTTTATATATAATAATTCAATTTTTTCAAATTAGAAAGAAATTTTTTTTTTATTCCAATGGAAATATAAACATTATTTCTATTCAGTTTTTAAATAAATTAAGTTTTTGTTTTTAATCTCGTTACCGAGAAGCTTTAATTTTCATTTTCATTCACGAAAATAATAGTGCTTAATGACGTGGGAAGACAAGAATCAAAGTATTAATAATACTTTTTTTGTAATAATAATACATATTAGTATTAAAATTACGCCTCTATATTTTGCGACTTAGTTAGACTAAAAAATTACTTAACTAATTTTTTAGACTAAAAAGTTACTCAACTAATATAGTTAGAATAAAAAGTTAGTCAACTAATTTTAGTTACAGTTTTTTTAGTTTAGTTGCAATTTTTAGTTTTGGTCACAGCACTAAACAAAACTATTGAGTGGTATTCTAACCTAAAGATATGTGTTCATACAGATATCTTTTATGAACAAGATTTAAAATTTTATTTATTTTCATTTATACCAAAAAAAAAAAAAAAAAAAAAAAAAAATTAGTTTTTTCATTTTTGTTGATGGCAAAAATAAATTTTTTTATTAATGATTTTTGGGGTCTTTGAGGTTCATTCATATTTTTAGATATACTTGTTAATTCTAAGTGTTTGGCTCAGAAGGAAGTTGGACCATGCAAGGGGGCTGTTTCTGCTTTTTATTTCAACAAAGAGACATTAAAATGTGAACCATTTATGTATGGAGGCTGTAACGGAAATGAAAATAATTTTCAAACATTGGTTGACTGTCAAAAAGCATGCGGAAGTAAGGAGTTTTTCATTTTGACAAACAAAAATTTAAAAACACTTTCTATAGTTTTTAATTAAAGTTTTGTTTATTAATTCTGAATTTGTCTGATTAAACCTTATTATCTTTACTTGTCTACAAAATGCAAAAGTATTTTCACATTTTATAAACAAGTTAAATATTAAGGACTCAAAAAGGGCCTTTGAATCCTGAATATATTTAAACATTTAAACACAGTTCTCATTTAAATTTTTATTATTTTCAAATGTTTAATTTAAAATTACGAAACAGGCTTATGGTAAAACAATTTTAAAAAAATACATTTTATTTTTAAAAGACACTTACCATTCTTGTGGAATCTATACTACTGCATTTTAAAAATTCTACTGGCTGAAGTATTTAATTTAAATTAGTTGGAAATTTGGGTTTAGGATGGCACTTCAGCATTTTGCAAACCAAGGTAAATGCGGTAAAAGTGAGGAGTTAAAGCGCTTGTACTTTTTAAGTGAGAAGTACTGCATTTGATCCTTACTACACTGGTAGTACTTCTTGACTTGTTTCTTTGTACAGCAGTATTGTTTGTTAAGGTTTATGTTTAAAGGTTTGAGAAAGGGTTGTAACAACTTAAATAAATATAAAAAAAAAAATTGAAAAAAAAGCAATCTTAATTGAAGTTGAATATGTTGGCTTTTTGGTTTTAGAGTAGCAAACACAACATAAGTAAAGTATTTTTAAATAGCAACAAAAATCAAAAGTTTAAAAAAATATACTTTTCTTTATACATAAAAAGGAAAAGATTGCTGCTCCATGCCAAATCCTCAGTCAATGTAGTGGCACTCCTTTGCAACAGCAAGCTTAGCAGGCGCTTTCATATAATTTCATATCAAAATGTTCATTTAAACTATATGTGTGTGTGTGTGTATATATATATATATATATATATATATATATATATATATATATATATATATATATATATATATATATATATATATATATATATATATATATATATAGCAATAAAAAAAGTAATTTTTCGATAGACATTGCTCATCCGGAGCAATACTTAGCTCTCGTAAAACTGAAACACGTTATCAAGGAGTGTGAATATGCTCACTCAGCATCAAGTCTTTAAGAGCGATATTTAAAGTTGGAAATTGGTTTCTATGGGGCCATTCATAAATTGCGTACATGGGTATAGGGAGTTGGTCACTCAAAATTAAATTTTCTATTTAAATTTTTTATTCTCATTTGAATAAACACGTTTTCAAAATAGTTATCATTCCATTCTATCTGTTAGCAGTAATGACTTCATAACTTTCCATTCATTGTTTGTACAAAACAGAAAACTGCTTTCTAATTTAAACTGAATTATCAAGTGAGTTCTTTCTATTACTTATTATAAAGTGAATTATATTTATATACTTGCAGGCTTAGTTGGGAAGTGGGTGCGATCACACTCGATAACTGACCACGGAAATATCATTCAGTTGCGAAAAACCGGCCAGATTTTTAAATCGTTTTGAGAACATTTAAGTTTATGTATGTTTCCTTGTTTGTCCGCAAAATAATAAGTTCATTTTATCGTAAATTTTAAAATTTTTTGTTTTATGGACTTACATGGAAACATGCATAAACTTGAATGTTCTCAAACATCTTAGTGCGGAAAAATAAAAAAAGAATATTTGCGAACACAAAAAACCCGCCAAATCTAATTCTATTGGTTTAAAAAATGCTAACCGAAATTTCTAGAATATTCAAAAAAATACTAACCGAATGTCCTAGTATTCTGTTGAAATATTTTTAAAAATATTAGTTTTTGAATTTTGTTGCGTTTTTGTTGAGATTTCTAGCATAAATTATTTTAAGAATATACTATCAAACGAACTATTATTTTAATTCTTGGAGCCACATCTACAAGCTATAAATGTTTTAAACTAACATTATTTGGTTACAATAATAAATGTTTTAAATTTATATTTTTTAACTTGTCAACGTTTTGTAAATATATTATAGATTTTATTAGTATATTCTTATTTTTTATATATAAGGGATGTATTTTTTATGTATGTAATGTATTTTTATTTATGTAATTTTATGTATGTGTATTTTATTCAAATGTAATCATTTAACACAATTTGTGCTATTGATTTTGTAAACAAAAATACTTTCAATGATGACTGCGTTTTCAATGAAATTATTAATAATCGTCAAAATTAATACAGAAAATTTTAACCACTAATGCATTTTCCTCAGTGTACCCGATAACTGATTCTTTCTCCCAAGAAAGAAAAGTTTTTAAGTTCTTAGAAATTGGTTTAATAACTTCAATTATTTTTGCTTCAGCCATTCTTACAAACTTGTTATACTTAAAGTTACTTTTTCTGTTTTAAATACTAATTAAAATTATAAAGCTCTCTCACTAAACATCAACAGCGGTATATGAAGCAGTTCCGCTTCCTCCTCACAAAGTAATTTAACGTTTTTTGTTAATTTTTACTTAGCTAATTGAATTTATACAGTAACTCTAACTAAGCAGAATTGTTTTAAATGTGTTGAACTTATTAAACTACGCGAAGCATAAAACAGCTATTGAAAAAACGTTTTTATTTATAAATAAATCATCTTGTTGGACTTTTCAGGGCCGGGGACCGCATTATTTTGGCTCCTTTTTATGTGCCACAGCGTAAAAATGACTATAAAAAATACTGAATGGTCCTCTTGACTATTTCTCATAACACTGTGAGTCCCGGGGCTATAGACCTACTACCTCCACCTCACCTCCTCAATCCAGCACTGGAAATAAGACATAAGTATATAAATAAAAATTATATATACTCTTTGATAAATCGAAGAACATTTGTTTACTTTATATAAAAAATGTTGCCTAATTTTATAAAAAAAGTTATAAAAAAGCGACGTTTCAAAAATAAATTTATTTTGCTCTAATAAATTTATTTTGCTTAAAGTTTTTTTGCGTTAAAAGCTATTTTTCTTTTTTTAACTGTCTCTCATCGGTCCAGTTAATTTTAATGCGCTTTTTTGTTTGTTTTTAAAATGTTCTCAAAACGACTAAAAAATCTGGCCGATTTTTCGCAACTAAATAATATTTCCGTGGTTGTTTATTGAGTGCAATCGCACCCACTTCCCGACCAAGCCTGTACTTGACTATATACTTAATAGTGATGTACCGATTAATTGGCATCAGCATTGGCTTAATCAGCCACTGTTGCTCAATCGGTATTGGCATCAGCATATTTTTATCCTGCATTATGATAATAATTAAATAATAAAATTAAATTAAATTAAAGGCAATATTGTTTATTCTTAAGATGATGTTTATAAGCTTTAATTTAGCAGCTGAATGTACTTATACTTTTACTATCATTATTTCGTTTTTAGAATATTTTTTTTTTTGTTTTTTTTTATTGTTATATTCAAAAGTAACCTATTTAAGCATTGTTATCTATATGTGTTCAAGTATATTTATATTTCTATATTTTATATTTTATTTTTGTTTTATTTCAATTCACTTCCCCAAGGCCACTGCAATCGAAGAGGCTACTTTAGATATGGTTACAACCCTCTCTCAACTTTATAACTCCGAAACACAAACCTTGACAAACAAGATCGCTGCACCAAGAAACAAGTTGAGTGCAGTACTACCAGGGACATGATTTGGATCAAACATCACAAAATAAAATAATTATAAAAACAATTTAATTATCTAAAAATAGTTTAGATGTCTAAACAACATATGATTGTTGTTTAGTTATCTAAATTACTATTAAATTAATAAAGAATTCTAAGTGAACTGCTCATGATAGTACCATTTTCTTTTTAAAATTGAAATTAAAAGCGTTCCTTGAAAATTGAATTTTTTTTTTTCGAAAGTTTTTCTTTCATAGCAAGAAAACCAAAAAATGTAAATTTTTTTAACTGAGTTTTTTTAATATCTTTTAAAATAATGGTTTGGCTCTAATTTGATTACCAGTACTGTTTCCATGAAAAAGATTACACGATTTAAAGTTGTATTGTTTTATATTTTTAAAACTTTAATAATTAGTTAATTTATCAGCATCGTTATCGACCTTTTTCTATCCAGTCTCTATAAACAATATGTATAATAAATAATAATAAACAGCAGAATCTCATTAACCCAGGCTCTGAAGAGATTTATATTTTGTCTATGTGTCAGACTTTTCGAAAATGTCTGACTAATGGAGGTTAGTAGATTTAATATTTTGAACTTTTTTGTTGTAGTTCTGATTTTTAGTTTCGTTTAGCTTCAACTTTTTTTAAAAAATAGACATTAATACAAGCATAACCGAATCGAAGATATCAGTGAAAATATTTAGTTCATTAAATTATATTTGACACAAAATTATTTGATATTCCGACATTTGAAATTTTATTTGATGTTTTTAAATTTTAAATATAATAGTCATTAAATAATAGAACCTGATCGAATCTCATAGAAGCATCATGTAAAGTTTTAGTTTGATAAATTATATTACACTAGATATTTAATTTTAAAACATTTAAGTTTGGAATTTTTATTGAAGTGTTGCAAGTTTTGATATTTTATTACATGGACTTTAATGCATTTCAAAGTGAAAGTCATTTTGAGTTCAGCTTATAAATAGAAGAAATAAATCATTAGCTCCCTTGCACTGAGATTTTAACTTATGCAGCATAAAATAAAATTAAAGTATGTCACGCACAAATTATGCGTGACGAACTTTATTGTAAAAATAACTTCTTTATTTTAACAATATACTAACTCTACTGTTTAAACATATTTTGACTTGAGCAAAAAAAATTTTATGAAAAATATTTTCTACAAAATGAGCTTATAATTTTCTCCCCCACAAGTTTTCCAGACGAGCACAATTTTTTATTCTCGTAATGAAACAAGCGCTATTTGTTGCACCTGAAAGGCCATTTACGGGCATGTTTTATGTGCGCGGAGCGATTGCGATATATATATATATATATATATATATATATATATATATATATATATATATATATATATATAATTACTTTTGACATTCATCCAACATTTCTGTGTTCTCATAAAGTTAAAACAGTTAAGTTAATTACTTTTTTAAAAAACCGCAAAAACGCAAATTTAATTGACCAGAATGTTTTTAAAAATATAAACAATGTTTTTATTTTTGTTTTTTAAATAAAATGTTTTTATTTTCATTTTTTTACTGTAAATCATGCTCAAGTGTTGCTACATCGACTATCTTATAGCCTGACTCACAACAGAGTGTTGCTACATTGACTGACAAATAGCCTGACTCGCAAAGGAGTGCTGCTACATCGACTTAGGGTTTGGTTTTGCAGGCAGTCTATCAAATAATAATAATAAAAAAAAAAAGTTCTGGTCTTGCATTTAATTTTTTTTTTTATGTCAACAAAATATTACAAAACTTTCTGACAACGTTGCAAGAGTCTATATATATATATATATATATATATATATATATATATATATATATATATATATATATATATATATATATATATATATATATATATATATATATATATATATATATATATATATATATATATATATATATATATATATATATATATATATATATATATATATATATATATATATATATATATTTAAAAACCTAAAAGATTTTTCTTTAAGTTGATTGAAACTAGAAATTTGTAAGCAACATAAGTAAAGTATTTTTAAATAGCAACAAATACACAAACTGAAAATTTGTATGAGTATTAGTATTGTGTTGCGACAATGTTAATATTTTTGATTTTTTAGGTTTGTCAAAATGTTTGATTGAGAGAGAAGTTGCACGATTGAAGAATAATCCTTATATTCCTGAATGTACAAACGATGGCTTGTACAACCAGGTCCAGAACTATGCTGGAAACTATTGGTGTGTTGACATTGTTAAAGGAACTTTATTAAAGGGAAGCATGTTGCAAGGGAAAGTTCCAAGTTGCGATCAAGGTATGTTTTCTTACAACAAAGAAATTTTTTTATACTGTCTAATAATATTATAAATCATTGAAATTAAATATTTGTTACATAACATTTTTGTTTCTTGTTTTCAATATTTTTGTTCATTTTATTAATATTTTGTATTTATAAAATAATGAATCTGCTTTCAAAAACTATGCGATTTTTTTCTGAGCGCATAAAACTTATTTTGTGAATAACTGATGAAAGTTTGTAATAAAATACTTAATAAAATATCACCCAATACATTCAAGTTAAACACAACATTAAACCTCTCACATTCACTACCTTCAAAAAAACATTTTCATATCGCAAACTGTCTCTAAATTGCACACTTAAAAATTAGGCAAATTGTATTAACCAATTGCACTCAACCTGAAAAAACATCTTAAACAGATGTATACTACAAACACCACCAAAGCTCATTAAACTGGCTTTGTTGGGACAACCTATATAACACACATACTTTTTTTTTTATGAACCAATACGCTACACCATACACCATGAACTAACAAACTTCAAACCTTAAAAATTTCCTGTATTATCATTACAAATTTTCCCAATATTTATAGGAAAATCAGTCAGTGAAAACGAGTTTCCTGTAAATTGTCTCAAAGAACTAACAAGTAAAAAACTTTTACCTGGTACATTTGTACCACAATGTGATGAAAATGGTTATTATAGAGAGGTTCAAGTGCATGGTTCTACTGGAAATTCTTGGTGTGTTCACAAGTATGAAGGAACTGAAATAGAGGGAACAAGAGTTGGTCCGGGCAGAGATCCAAAATGCCCATGTATAGTTTTTTTAAATTTAAAATTATGTATATTTTGTTATAAAATTTTGATATTATAATAAAACATAATGATAAGAATTATTATTATTATAATCATTATCATTAATATTATTAGAAATATGAATAAAATACAGCTTTTGTTTATAAATTGTTACTTAAAAAATTATTACTATATATTTATTTTTTTAATATATATTTCAAGTATTTACACATTTTTAGATGCTTCCAATCCTGATTGTTTGCTTCCTCGAAATTCAGGTTTGAATGAACAACCTGACTCTGAAAGGCCAGATTGCTTTGGATTATCTCAACGCATTTATTATGATTGGCAACAAGGAAAATGTCTTAGTTTCAATTATGGTGGATGTGGGGGTAATAAAAACAATTTTAAAAATTTGGAGGAATGCCAACTTATTTGTAATGGTAAGTATCTGCTATCACTATATGTACATTGGTAATCATTTAATGTATATTTGCAAACATTGTATTTATATAATAGTATTTATTGTTCAGTAACTCCAGGATCACCTATTCATTTCCAACAAGAAGTAGACGGAACTTCGGAAACAAAAATACCATCAGAAACATCTGCATTTCCTATTTATGAGTTTGAAATTCATCCAACTGAAAGTAAGAAAAATTGTATTATAAATAAACTTTTCCTTTATTTTCATTTTTATTTTCAATGATTTTTTTATTGTTTATTAAAGAAATTCCTCTCGGAACACCATGTTCTGTGGTAGCTGATTTTGCCAGGCAGGTTGCTAATTCAAACAGGCAATTGTTGGGTAATTACATTCCACAATGTGATCAGAGTGGAAACTATAATCCTTTACAATATCACAATTCAACAGGCATGAGATGGTGTGTTAATGTTACAACAGGTGTTGAAATAAATGGAACTCGTGTTTATCCTGGCCAAAATGATCCAAAATGTGAGACAAGCTATTCAGGTTGGTTTTTTATTTTACTTTTTGTTGTTCTTTTTGCTAACTTTAGCATTTTAATTAAGTGTAATGAATTTTTTTTTTAAAGTAAACTAATGAAATTGATTTAAAAAAATTTGTTTTATTTATTACTGCAATATCAGTTTCACGAATACACAATTTGTGCACGAATGCACAAATTGTGCATTCGTGAAACTGATATTGACTGTGCACAAATATATATATATATATATTGACATAGCCAAAATAAGTTGTATTTTGTCCCATCCCGGTCAAAGGCTTTAGCAAAGTTTTATCAAAAACTATAAATTGCTGCTTTTTTTAGTAACCAGTAATTTGAATAATAAAACTGTTAGCTTTTTGTTTGTCCAGCTTGCATAGAGTTTTTTTTCTTTTTTATGTAAACATCAAGCATATACTAATATGCTTGATGTTTACATAAAAAAGAAAAAAAACTCAATGCGAGCTGGAATTTTTTTATATTCCTATACTATATTTTTATTTTCCTATACTAATGCTGTAAGCATTAGTATAGGAAATCTACTATTAGGGCTTCTCTCACTTGTTTTTGTTTATCACTATAGGGCGTGTGTGATTTACCTAAGGAAAAAAAAAAAGTCATAGTGTAGACTTATGTTTTAATATGATTAATGTTGTATGTATGTAAATACATTTGCTTATTATAGATAATTCAGTAGTTTCTACAGCAATGCCACCACCAGAATTTGTTGTCATTCCTGTTTTAAATCCTCCTCCTACACCAAAGCCAACATCAGGTTTTACTTTTTACTTGTTACTAGTGAAATAACTTTTTTCATTCATTTAAGTTTTTTAAATATTATTTTTATTTGTGTTTTTCATTCAGTTCTCACCTGTCTTGAGAGAGCTTCTCTTATATGTTGTAATATCTTATGTATATTAAGCTTCTATATAACTTTTGTTCTTAAATGTTTTCTGAAGGAAAAAAAATCTTTTTAAATGATTTTCATCAGAGGATGTAGAACAAAAAATCTTTTGAACGATTTGCATTGGAGGAGAGAGAAAAAAAATATATCATTGATGTAATTAATTTTAAATAAAAGTAAAAAAACTTGTCTAAAAAAAGTAAAAAACTAGAAAAAAGTTACAAAAATGCTTAACTTTTATAACAAATTTTACAAACAAATTTTTATGAACAAATTTTGTGATTTTAAGGCAATCGAAAAAAATTTTTAGATTGTAGTTATATCAAGTTTCCTCTTATTTGCAAATATAATTATGTTAATTATTATAAGTTGCTGTAAAGTGTTTAGTTGTTAAAAAAAAAGTTCTATAAAAATATTTAATGTATTCACTTTAATATCAGTTAAGACCAAACAAAAATATTTTAGCTCCATGTAGAACTTATTTATTCAAGACTCTTAAATATTATTATTTTTAATGTATGTATGTATGTATGTATGTATATATATATATATATATATATATATATATATATATATATATATATATATATATATATATATATATATATATATATATATATATATATATGTATATATATATATATATATATATATATATATATATATATATAAAACTTTTGTCAGGTTATATATATATATATATATATATATATATATATATATATATATATATATATATATATATATATATATAACTGATTCTATTGTATCCATTATATAAGACAAACAAAATATTAATTATATTTTTTATTGCTTTTATTTTATTTGAATATTTTGCATTACATGATTTTATGAACAAATTTTGAGATTTTGAGACCATCAAAAAGAAAGTTTGATTATAATAAGTATGTTAATTATTATAATTAATTTTGCTGTAAAATTTGTAGTTGTTAAAAATAGTTATTAAAAAAAAGTTCTATGAAAATATTATATGTATTCACTTTAATAGCAGTTGAGACCAAACAAAAATATTTTAGCTCCATGTAGTATCCTATTATTATAATTAGTAGTTGCAATAAAAATATTATGAGTAAAAATTTAATTTTTATTTATTACAGTTAATGTAAAGGAAACATATTCAATACTATCACCAGTGGGTATCAATGTTTCCATTGTAACTCCTGCTGTTACAACTCCTACTATAAATTCATCAGGTAATGAAAAATTATTTTTACTTAAACATTTTATTATTGCTTTTAAACGATACAGTTGAATTGTTAAAAGTTGATTTCTTAATGAAATTGTAAGAAAATATATTCTTGATGAGAGTTGTTTTCTTAATGAAATTGTAAGAAAATATATTCTTGATGAAACAAATAGAAAGTTGTTTTCTTAATGAAATTGTAAGGAATTATTTTTTTAATAAAAATTAAAAAAATGAGCAAATAAATTATCAAAAATACTGGAAGCCATTTTATGCTTTCTTAATTTTATACTCTTTCAATTTTATATTTTTTTAAATTTATGATTTTTCAATTTTTTGCTTTTTCTGCTTTGTTTCAATACGTAAAAAAATAGGTTTTAAGAGATTGACTAATTCTTGAATGATTGACTAATTCTTTTTTTTTGTTTGTTTTTTTTACAGAAAAAAAATCTAATTGCAGTTTTACAATTGGAACAAATCTTGTAAAGTTAGGATGTTATCTTGATACACAACATGATCCAAGACCTCTTCCAGTACTTTTATTTGACGATGAAGGTTCAGCAGAACACCAAGGTGACTGGGCTGCTTATATCAATAACGTAGTTTGCAAATGTGCAGTTGAAACAGAAAAGCGTGGATGGTATACATTTGGTATTCAAAGATATGGTATATAATTTTTCATTAAATTTTTTTTTTTTTTAATTTTATTTAGTTGATAATTACAACCTGTACCCAAGCAATTAGAATTTTAAAACATTATCTCCTTTAAAACTATGTAATTATCAAGCAAAAAAATTATTTATTTTAAAGATTTTTTGATGGACGGGAAAAATAACCTAATTATGATATAGGAATACAGGGTTAAGATATAATTTAGCACCTATAGGTTGTGTGTACTATAAATTTAAAATAATTATTTCTTTATTTATCTTTGTTGTAGTAGATTTTTTTTTCTAGGTGCGTGCTACTCTGGTCCTGATGAAGGGCGTTACAAAGAAGATGGTCAAGCAAAAGATAAAATGTGCATTGGAGAAGATCTTCAAACTTGTTCCGCAACAAACACCCAAGCATGTGTTGGAATCACTGATAGTGATCACTCTTCAATGGCAAATTATATTTACATGATCAAGACTGATTCTCATCAATCTATAAGAATTATTCAGTATGTCAAGTGTTTATTTGAAAACTTGTCACCATTTTGTATTTAAGGCTCCCCAAATAAAAATTTTAAAGTCACTAGTTTAAATAAAGAAAAAAACATTTTTAATCTAACCTTTTAGTCAATCATTTTCTATTATATTTTGCTGCTTTCAATATTTATGTATATATTTTTCAAGTGTTTCAAAGGTGTTTTCTTTTGTAGATACGATAAAAAGAAACGCAGTATTCCGAAGAAGTTAATTAAACGAAAAAAAGACAAAAAACATTTGTAAACGTTGCAAGTTTCGATTGCCTTTAAATTTTCTGTATGCATTGTATCGTTGAAGCTTACTTCAATGAAGCTGAACTAAACTAAACTTCGTTGAAGTTCGTATACGTTATATGATTGGTACAACCGCTGTATAGTTAAAACTATGTTTGATATACATTGTAAATACTGTATGTATTTCGAGCTGGTCAAGGAATAGTCTTACGAGAGTTGTACGGATTTGATCGTTTCTTTATGCGAAGTTCTCAACCAATAAACTAAAGAAAAAATATTTTAAGGCAATAGTCAAGACATTTTAAGTATGAAATGTATAAATATGAATGAAATATGAAATAAATATGAGACATTTTAAGTATGAAATGTATAAATATGAATGAAATATGAAATATATGAGACATTTTAAGTATGAAATGTATAGATATGAAAATCTTTAGAAGTTTTTATTGAACTGTATGAAACATATCTTGAATTATTACAAAACAAAAAAGATTCTGTTTTATAACTGACTGCATTTGTTTCTAGCACCATCAGGGCCGTGACTAGGTTTGCAACATTTTCTTGGTTATAAAGTAAAGCTTTTTTACTTTTATAATTATTGTTAATTCGTGTAATTCCTTCGCAAATAATTTTTCATTTTTTAAAATAACTCTTTGCTAACTCATTTACATATGCAAAAGTTTAAAATTAAAAATATTCAAAGCGTAAAATCCCAACTGGCTCAATCTTTTTTTAAAAAAATCTCATTTAATTTTGTAAAGTTTTTTAAATAATATTTTTAATTTAAAATAAACTGTTGATTTATTTCCGTAAAAACTTTTCTTGGTCGTTATAAAGTTGGCGCCAAAAAAAACAACATTAAAAGCCAACATAAAAATATTCAATAAATGTTTTTGATTTTAAAACTCCATATTGTTTGTTTTTAGTATTTTTATATATATATTTCATATTTATATATTTCAAACTTAGAACAAAAAAGACTTTTAATTTTCTCTTAAGCAAAAAAAAATATGTATATATAATTTAATTTTCATGAAAGGGGCCATCCATAAAGGACTTCATACTAATAGGGGAAGGGGGGTTTAGATAAAACAGGACATAAAGAAGAAGAGGGTCATCAAAAAGGAACGCAATCTTTCAGAATTTTTTAATTTTATCTTTAATAACATGGACAACTATGTAAACACCTGTTTTTATGAAGTTAACGGTAGGGAACGCAATGTTTTTAATTATCGTAAATAAATTAAAAACAAGAAAAATTATTTTCTGCTGAAAAGATAACCTCTTTTAACTTTCGTTTAAAAGAAGTTAAAGTCCATTTCAAAGACAAATCAAGATTTGGCAAAACTATTTTATTCCATAAATAAGGATCGCGATAAGAAATAAATAGTTTTTCAAATTTAGTTTTGCAGAAAGGTTGTTGTAGATTTTTTCGATTGCGAAGATTGTATTTGTTTATGGGTTTTACATTATAAAGGTTTATAAAAACAGCAGGAGATAAATGGTTTACCAGATCGAAAGCTGTTTATTTCTCTAAATGACGGCTTTCAGACAAACAAACTTAAAATATCATGTGGTCCTACAAGGCTCCATCTTAGGTCCGCTGCTGTTCTTAATCTTTGTTAACGATCTATATAAAGATTTATGTGAGTATCAACAGCAGTTGCGAAACAGGGTTCTTCTCCGAGAGATTCGCTATCTCAATCAAGGAGGTTGAATTTATCAGAGAGAAATTTTTTTTGGGTCGCAAGGAGTTATATACATGTTTAAAATACCCCCATATTTCAACAGTAGGAAGACAGTAGGCAAATATGTGGATGTTGTCCTCGATTTTACCGCAAGTTTTGCATTTGTTATTTTTTACGATCTGTTGCCTTGTGCATTTGGCTAACAAGGCCGAAAAATGTATATTGTTGTGTAAAAATCGAAAGTTGATATTTTGTGTCGATCCGCATGCGTGGGAGGTAAAGTTTTTTTTCCAAATTTGGGTCCACGGCAATGTTGTTTTTGTTGAACCGTTCCAAAAAAGTTCTGCTTGCATGGCTGTCTTTTTGTTTTTTGCCACTTCTAAATAAAAAATTTTTGTTGATTTTAGGGGAATGTTAAAAAGGGACACGTTTTTGCCAAATATTTCAATTGTTGTTTTGTAGTACTGAGACATTTTGTTGTCTCAGTGTTTTGGAAAATTGTTTTATTTTAAAAAATTCCAGCTTTGGTTTTGGTTCGTAAATTTTATAAGTGAACTTGCTAACCAGTACTTTGAAAAGGAGTCGTAATCGTGAGTTTTATCCTCTCCGCATTCTTTCAGTTGAAAGAGTGTTTTGAGGCGAATTGCAAAGCTTTGCTCCTTCGGTTATGAAATTTCGAGACCCTCGTTTTTGACGGGTAAGAAAAGTGTCTCTTTTTCCATAGATTTTTAAATATGGCACTGTGTAAACGTTCTTTTAACCATTCAGGAGTGGGCAGCACGTTTGCCAGACACCACTTTTTTGGCATTACTAGCGTATTTATAAACATAGTTTTTCCCCTAAGTGACAAAGCACGTAGTCCCAGAAACTTGAGTTTTTTCTCTACTTTGTTTAGAGTTACTACCCAATTGAAATTGGTAGTACTATTCTGGTGTAAAAAGTAACACCCAATCTTTTGAAAACGGTATTATTGTTCCACTTTATACTGTCCAAGTCTGGGTAAATTTTAGGATCAAAATCATATTTTCACCATTTTGACGAGTTAACATTGTTGATAACATATTTAAAGTTGATATCATATTTAAAGTTACATTTAAGCATTTAATTAAAGACTCATTATTCATGTTTGTTTTGCTTGTATTTTGTAACATTAAAAAGATTTTTGTATTTTTTGTATTATTTTGTATTATTTTGTATATTTTGTATATTTTGTATATTTTTGTATTATTTTGTAATACAAAAAAGAGAAAATTATATTAGCAAAATATATTTCAACTGTAATATTTGAATGAAAAATAATTCTTATAAAGTATACAAATGTATATTTTTATATATGCCTTTTTTCGATGCAAACACAACGTTGATCAACTGTATAAAATCCAACGTTGTTCCAATGTATATAAATCCGTTGATTCAATGTATATAATCCAGCGTTAATCGATATACATTGGATTAACGTTACGTTATAAACATTAGATCAACTTGGATCCATATACATTTGAACAACGTTGATCCCTATACATTGAATTAACGTTGGCTTTAGATCGGAAAAACAACCAACTTATGCGATGTTTTTACATACGTTGGATCAATATAATTTGCTTACTATTTTTAATCTCGTCGTTATTAAGGTTTTCTTAAATGTAAATAGGATAAAACTAACATTGAATCAACGTTGTATTTGTATCGGAGAAAATAGCCGACGTTGGCAATGTATTTACATACGTTGGCCCAACGTAAGTGTGCTAGCTGGGTCCCATACAATATTTTCGTAATTTAAATGGCAGTGGATAAACTAATAATATAATTGTTTTAATTGTTGTTCATTTAATATATGTTGAACTTTATATATAGTTCCAATACTTTTAAGAACTTTCATTGAGATATTATCAATTTATTGTTTCCAGGATAAGTTTTCGTCTACAAGAATTCTAAGAAGTTTTGTATCTTTTTTCCTTTTTAGTATTGTATTATCATTAAAGAGGTTGGGCATCATATTTGGGAAACAACTTTTTCTGGATATTGGAGAAAAAAGTGTCTTTAGTTATTTTTATGATTGACTGATTTATATTTTAGGTATTTAATATACTGTTTTTGTTTCATTTTCAATGATTTTTAAATCCTTTATTTTTAAGTTGTTTTTCGATGATTTTTATGTCCTTTAGTTGTCCAATGACATGATGCGTCCTTTTTGTTAAGGATTATTTCACGAATAGGGACGTTTGTGTCATAGATGGATTTAAATATCATAAAAAAAAAATCGTAGAAAGGGCCGGCGCGAGTAGCGTCGGCCCTGTCTGCGATTTGCCGACTTTTTAGTCAAAAAGGGTCAAATTTGCCGACTAAGGGTCAAATTTGCCGACTAAAAATCATTGATGGAGGGGTGTCACACTCCCCGCACCCCCCTGCTCTATTATGAAATTATTAGGTTACAAACTTAAAATTTATAGTTATTATATATATATTATTATATTTAACTATAAACTTTAAGTTTGTAACCTATTAATTTTAAGTTTGTAACCCCTGCGCCGGGGGGTGAACGTAAACTTACAAAGTTATAAACATTAATAATATCATTATTAAAGTTTATAACTTTGTAAGTTTATGACATTTGGGTTTATAACTATGAATTTTAAGTTTGTGAAATAAAAAATTGGTTCTTAAGTTAAATGTTTTACTTAAATTTACTAATATCATCTGATAATTAGTATCGAATTATAAATGGATTTGATATGGAGTTGATACAAAACATGTTTATTTAAAACATTACATTTTCATATTTAGCCTAAAAATCACTGTTTAATGATAAATAGTTTTTTATAAGTGGGGGTATAACTTTCAGAACGGGGGCGTGTCAAACTTTTAAATTTTAAAAAAACTTTTATATTTGCTTTTAATAAAAAAAATGACACATAAAACTGTCTGAAAAAAAAATTGTTTTTGGGGACACCCTAATATATACGGGCCGTGAGAGTGACGATCGTAACATTTCGTGAGAGTGACGGCCGTAACCCTGTGCGGCCGTGGCGCAGTTGTTAGAGTGCTTGCTTTATATGCTCTACGTAGCGTTAAGGTCGTAACGTTAACTTTTTACCTCTTCTAAACAAAACAACTTTGTCAGACGTCATGCAACGAACTAAACAAAAAAAAATCTCGGAAGCCAGGTACTGTTCTTTTCTAATTTTTGGATGCTGATTCCAAAAATACCATCATTTTCTTTCTAGAAAATGACCCCTGAATTATACAGATATACAGTTTCTTTGTATTTCTGATGAGTATATTTATTACAAAAGTATATTAATCTAAACTAAAGCTAAAAAAAAACAGGTTCTATGATAATTTCAAGGTTGGTGGGAAAATATAACCAACCAAAAATACGATGTTGAAAAAAAAACAGTTATGATGTTACATACATATGCAATATAAATGTATAAATGTCATTAGTGTTAAATTTCACATTGTTTGTATTAATTGTGCATTCACTGCATTTATTGCAACACCACTTCTTAAAGAAATGAAAGTTTTGCAATTACAACACCACTTCCTAAAGAAATGAAAGTTTTGAATATTTACGAACTAAATGTTTTGAATATTTTATGTTTTATGTTTAAATGTAATGAAAATATATCACCTAATGTATTTATAAATCTTTATAATTTGAAACCTAAAAAAAAAATATAACCTTCGTGCCAGTAAAAGTATCGAAGAGCCATTTTCCCAAACTAAATTTGACCAGTCTTGTATTTTTTATCGTGGTCCTTCTCTTTGGAATAAAATAGTTTTACCTAATTTCGATTTTTCTTTTAAATGGTCTTAT